GCCGGCTACCCTTCGCGCCGCGCCCCCACTATCCTCTCTCTCTCTCTCTCTCTCTCTCTCTCTCTCTCTCTCTCTCTCCTTTGCAAACTTCCGACTTCGGCTTTGCCAGAAGAAGAAGAAGAAGAAGAAGAAGAAGAAGAAGAAGAAGAAGATCGTTAGAAGAAGAAGAAGAAGAAGAAGAAGAAGAAGAAGATAGTAAGAAGAAGAAGAAGAAGAAGAAACAGAGAACAACAAAGGAAGACTTACCTTCCGAGGCCGGGGCGGACGTGAGGAGGGCGACGCAGTCTCGACCTCGTTCACATTCGACAAAGTGAAGTGACGGGTCCTGCTGCCTGAAAGCAGCTGGAGGCGGGAGGCGGGGTGGTGGGGGCTGTGCCTGAGGAAGGTTTGCATCGCCGCCAAGAACTTTGGGTGGTTTCCTGCCCGAATGTTCAAAACCGGGCGGCCTATCTGGGCCGCAGATCTCACCAGATTGACAGCCCAAATAGGCCGCCAGTTTTTCAATAATCTGGCGGGCCTAGCGGACCTGGTTGATTTTTTTTGGGGGCCGGGAGGCCTCCACGACCTGCATGGAGGCCTCCCGGCCCCAAAAAAAATTGAACCCCCCCCAACAGCGAATTGCGCAATTTGCAATCGGCGGGGAACCGGTGCTCTCCACCGGCCCGATTCCGGTGGGGGAAGGGGGCCCCGGTGGGACCGGAAATCCAGCCTTGATATATATATAATGTGACAATATATATCGTCAAATAGAACTGCCCGGTAAACCGTAGGCAGAGAGGGAGAAGAGGACAACAAACGAGGGGCTGTGACAAACTGTTTCGTCGGAGTTTCACCGACTCATCGTCAAACAGAGCTGCCCGGTAGACCATAGGCAGAGAGCACAATATATATATTTTTAAAAGGGCGACGGCCTTGAGATATCATCATCAAACTGACCGGCCCTACGTAATTCCGAATTGCAGTGCTGTTCTCATATGGAGTTCGAACTCAGGTCCGTCTGTACTTCAACAGTTCAAGGGGGGTACCAACTGAGCTACGCCAGTTGGTACCCTGTGCTATATTATTCTCAGTGACAATAGCTGATTCCCCTCGAGACCAGATTATGCCAGGGGCAAAAAAAAAAAAAAAAAGAGGGGAGAGGGGAGGGGGTGACGGGCCTAGTGCAGTTTGTACACCCACGAACTGTTGAAATACAGACAAATGTGAATCCACATACAATCAGCTGCCCAGAATAAAATCATTCTGAATTCCCTGGGGCTGGACAGTTCAGTGATGATATGTCAAGGCTGTCACCTTTTCGTTTTTTTAACAGATACAAGTGGACCCAGCGCAGCGAAGCCACGCCCCAGTCCTGTCTATACACGGCAGGAAGTGTGGCAATGTAGGTCTGTGTGTGTGTGTGTGTGTGTGTGTGTGTGTGTGTGTGTGTGTGTGTGTGTGTGTGAAATATAAGAAAAATCAGAACGAATATTCAGCCAGAACATGGAAATATGCACTGCCAGTCTGCCACACTTTACTTCTTTTTTTTTCACGTGTGCATCAACTGAGCAGCCTGCCAATGTGCAAAATGAGAAGGAATCTTCGGCAAAAACATAGGAAGATACACTGCGACGGACAGACACATTGAAAAGAAATCCCGGTGTGAGCATGGACTAATACCTGTCAGATGCAAATGTCGCCACGAGAGAGAGAGAGAGGGAGAGAGAGAGAGAGAGAGAGAGAGAGAGAGAGAGAGAGAGAGAGAGAGAGAGAGAGAGAGATTTCCATGCATAGGATAAGCAAAATGGGAATGAATCTGTCGCTAGAACATGGAAATATACACTGCCACATTTTCGGTCTCATGTTGTGGCAGTGGATACTTCCATGTTCTAGGGGAAGGCGCGCACACACACACGCAAAAAAAAAAAAAGAAGCATGGTAGTGAATCTCATTTTGCGCATTTGGTTAAGCGTGGCAATGTCTGTCTGTCTGTGTGTGTGTGTAAGATGAGCAAATCCTGAATGAATTCTGCCAGAACATGGAAATATACACTGCCACACTTTTTTTTTTTTTTTGTGTGTGTGTGTGCGTTGTGTGTGTGTATGTCTGTGTGTGTCTTCCCCTAGAACATGGAAGTATCCACTGCCACAACATGGAAATATACACTGCCAAAAACCAAAAATGTGGCAGTGTATATTTCCATGTTCTGGCGACAGATTCATTCCCATTTTGTTCATCCTATCTGCAGACTGTTGAGGGTTCAGCCTCCTGATGAGTCGGTGAAACTCCGACGAAACAGTTTGTCACAGCCCCTCGTTTGTTGTCCTCTTCTCTCTCTCTGCCTACGGTTTACCGGGCAGTTCTGTTTGTGACG